ACGCCATTTTCGTTGAATTGCGACTTACTCTTCGACTTGTCTCGAATTTTCACAAAGTACGATACGCAAAATAGTAAATCGCGATAAACGGAAATTGTTCTCAATTTATTTTAAGCCACAGTCGGTTTCAATGATTGCAATATAATCTTTGAATTGTTTGCGTTAGATTACGATGTAATAAAGCAAAATAAATTCACACGAAAATTTGTATTCAAATATTTTCCAGTCTCTTACGACACCAAGGAACAAGTGCTAAAATGAGTGTAGCCGATGTCACTTTGTATTGCATGAATGTTATTAGAAAGACACTAGAGCTGTCATTCCGATCGTCCAAAATAACATTCGCATACCAACGAAGCATAATTTCGCGCGCATATTCAAAAATAAGACAGCGAAGTTTGAACTGATAGCATTGAGTCATTGGATGATTATTTGGCTAAATTGATAAAAATAATGAGATGCACAACTAAAACTGACTAAGTTGATTGAAATCATGCGTTTTGTATGGAGACAATCGCGTTTAGTTATTCTTTCAGTCAGTCGACTAATTTGAGACATTTTGACTAAGAGTGAATTGTGATTAAAGTTAACTGCAGTTGCTTGTTCTGTTCGAGACAATCACTTTTAGTCAGTCAAAATGTCCCAAATTAATCGGATAATTTTCCACACGGGAATGTAAACATAGAGTGCATTGTGTATCTGTTATCTTTCCGTTTATGCGAAACATATGCAGAAAGTATTGACCTAGCAAAACTGTTTCTCTTATAATAACATTTGAAATGGAAAACTGTAACTTATTGATCGATTCATTCTATTTTGAAAAATCCTAACCAAAAAATTATGTTTTTTCGATGCGATATTTTATTGCTCTTGTGCTGCCACCAATGAGGTTTATTTGTAACAAATCATTCGTCATTCAGTCACACCAACCTACTGCAACACTTTCAAACATTGGCCGTGCTGTTGTTGATCGCACTGAGTCACGATTCTGCGATTTAATCGCACATACACACATAAACATATTCCAGATTGTGAGTCTTACTCAACATCTTCGTTCTTTTCTCAACGTGACTTTTGCACTAATCGACGTACTCTTTCAACTGACTATTTCGCAATAACAGATTTTAAATAAACTTTGCGACGAAGAATATATATTTTCTTAAAAGTGATTAGCTTTCGTTTGTTTTGTACCAATCGTATCACAAATATTTATTTTAGCGTCCAAATAAAGTAACTGTTATTAAAATGGGAAGAATCAAAGGGTTGGAAAAGTATTGCATTTCAAACAACGCAATTACTGAAGAGATTGATATTCGTGACGAAATCGCAAAATGGCTACGGTAAGTAATTCTTATGTTGATTTTTGGATTTTTCTTTTTTTGAAATACTAAAGCCTTAAAAATATGACCACAGTGAACATGGTGAAAATCCAACGATTATAATCGATGTGAAAGAGTTGAATCGAGTGCTTGGGGATCGTTATTCGCTTCACTCATTTGCTGATGTCTTGAATCTGGGCGGCCAATTCTGGAAATTCAATGAAATTTTGGATTATTTCTTTGGCGAGATGAAAAAGGCCGGCGCAAATTTGATGTTCATTGCACGATTGAATGAAAGCCGATTCAAGGAAATGAACGAATGGGAAAAATCAACTTTGCATCCCAACGAACGCTTACTGTATAATTTGATGCAAATCTGCTCGAAATATGGTCGACTGTCGGTGAATTATGGCTTGGGTAAGAGTCAAGGGGCAAATCACTTCATATAGACCCAAATTTATTTTCATTTTTCTTTCTGTGATTTGCCTCTAGGTAAAAGTTCAGTTTTGGCTTATGCAAGACAGTATCGCGACCAGGTCATGGCATTGATTACGCGCAATACAAAATATTTGGTGTATGATATTGACTTCTCATATTGGTGCCTTGTCAATGTGGATTTCTACCAACTGAAAATTGTAAACATCTCGCCGAAACAGATGCTACGAAACCTCGCATTAAACACGAAACAAATGCAACTCATTTTCGCACTATCCATGCTCGAATCGAAAGTAAAGTTTCGACTTGTTGAAAGAAAATGCGATAAATTTTGGCGCATGGTGCAGTTTGTGGAACCATTTAGATATGGCGAGAAGGGTTTTGATTTGAATGCATTGGCATATAATTTGACCAAACAAGAACGTGATGATTTGGAAGATAAGTTGAACCGTATATTTGCCATAAACGACTACGCTGGCAATTGGAATGAAGACATTTACGAGGGACTGATTTTGGATTTGGCAAACAATGAGGAATCGTTCAATTTGGTGTTGCAATTCTGCAAAGAAAACCTTTATTTTGCTTACAAATTGATCAATGAAAAAGATTCGACGCAAAAAGATCTGCTGTGCATCGAATATCGCCATAAAGAGGATGTGATTTTTGGTAATGTAATTGTCATCATAATGCGCAAAATGTGTGGAATCCTTTTTAAAGATGTTAATCCAAAAAAACGTCCGGCGATTCGCACCGTTCAAACCAACCAGCATCTTGGTGCCATTTTTGTCACTTCAGTAAGGGATATCATTTATCCAACAAGTGAGAATTTTCCATCGCATTCAAATGTTTATACAGAAAATTCCTGGTTTTTATTTGATTTTTCTTATTTTCCATCTATTTGTTGCAGTGCCATTGCCGAGTCTCGAAGAATTGTTGGTTGAAGAAGATAACAAGCGGTTCGACAATTCGCGCTAGTCGCTTTTCAAGTGGCTGATTGGCTTGAACGAAGAATCAATTTCGGACATCAGATCTTCGAATGACTCCAAGTTCATTCGCATTGTTTCATTGACGCTGACATTTTTGCAATTGGTAAGATGAACACATTCCATTCTGTCATCCAAATCGCAAGCGATTTAATGTGTTTCTATCGACTTCACAGCATAAGATCATCTCGGCTCATGAAGCGAATACCATTCGACAGATGGAAATGGAACAAAACATTAAAACTGAACTCGCTCTGCCAAGCGGAAGCTCGCCACCTACAAAGCTTAATCAACAATTTACCAACATTGACGGTGCATGGGCTCAAACGGCACACAAATACACAATTGCTTACGAGATCATTTGCCATTGCCTTGAAGTGTCCGGCTTACGACGAGAAACGGTAAGATTTGAATAAATATTCAACAATTGCGCAATGTTAAAAAGAGGCATATTTTTCAGGCACCGATTTTGTTCGATGCACCCGAATTCAATGCACGCATGCAACGAATGGAAAGTGACTCGAACCCGAGTGTGATGCACCAAATGCAGAACTTTCGACTATGATGACATTGACCACATTTCCACAGCAATTGAGTTCTTCAATAAATTCTACAATAAATATTCAATCTTAAAGTTAAAATTTCCACACACATTTTCCAAAATTGACAAAAAAGGCATCATTATTTGTCTTCGTTTCATAAAATAGGCTACGAGTTAATATTTTTTATATACAATCTTCATTTTGACTTGATTTTGTGTTAAAGAGTTCATGCAAGAACTTTCTTGCAAAAATAACATTTTTATACTTAAAATGTACTACGTATGAATGCGATCATATTGAGAAAATTCAAATAAAGCGCCATTCCGATCAAATTACATCATTTCATTCCTTTGCCTTCAGTGTCACATTGAAACCACACAGAGACATTCCATAAGATTGAAAAAGCTAATTTGTTTGTGTACAAGCGATGTTTTTCGGTTGCTTTGCATAGCACTACACATGGAAAAGTAGCCGTCGGAGTGCACGTTCTGTTCACGTTACGTTAAGGCGTACACATACAATCGCGTTAACGTAAAAGGAGTACAGCGATATATTGTATCACAGCGCAGGATATATTGCTGTACTCCTTTCACGTTAACGCAGCTGTATGTGTACGCCTTAACGTAACGTGAACAGAACGTGCACTCCGACGGCTACTTTTCTATGAGTAGTTGCACACATTTGCCACACACACACACACACACACACACATTGACGAACATATACCGCGCGTTCAGATCGAACGATTTCAATGTGAAGGGTACGTATCGATTTCTCTTTCTGCTTATGCGTCTTCCTTTTCTTCGTAAGACCGCAGTGCAAACAGACGCCGATAATCACAGTGGAAATTCAAAATATTAAATCCAAGTTCAGTTTTTGACATTTTTTTGTTCGTAAATTCGAAAAAAAAAACGTGTCATCATTTAAAATGGGTATCAAGGGATTGGAAAAGTTCATAAGAACTTCGAATACAAACATTTTTGAAGAAATTGATATTCGGCGTGAAATTGCGAAATGGCGAAGGTAAGCATTTTACTAAACGATAAATGACGATTTTATTATTTTCTATTGAATGATTGATCAATGCAAAATTGCAGTGGACATAGAAGCAATCCAACCATAATGATCGATGTCAAAGAAGTGGTGAAATTTTCGTGCAAAATCGATGAAGGAGGTTTGGTATTGGGTGGTCGATACCAGAAAATATCCGAAATTTTGGACTATTTTTTTTGTGAGATAAAGAAAGCCAACGCAGATTTGGCTTTTTTCATAAGACTTGACGAAGGAAGACACGAAGATGTTGATCAATTCCAGCCAATATTTCCGGCGTACGACGGGATTATACGGAACAAATCATTGAAATGTGAAGGAAGTGGGCGTATGCATAAGCAAATGGACTGCACAAGCGAATTGCGTCCGACGGAGCGAATTTTATACAATTTCATGCATTCAATTTGCTCGAAATATGGTCAAGTTTACATTGATTATGGCTTACGTGTGCGCGGTATCTTGGCATTTGCCCGCGAAAATCGAAAAAATGTGATGTGCCTTATCACGAGAAACACCAGATTCCTGGTATTCGAACGTGATTTTGAATATTGGAGCCTCTCCGATGTTCAATTCTGTGAAATGAAAATTGCAAAATTTTCTCGTCAAAAACTGAAGGAAATCATCGAACTTAATGTTGAACAAATGCAATTACTGCATGCCATAACTCAACTCGAAATGGATGTGTCGAATCGATTGATTGGTGGCCATGATAAACGGAATCGGTTCCACAAAATTTGCGATTACGTGAAGAAACAAGAATATAGACCAAATGGATACGAATCAAGCCAATTGACTGGCGATTTGACAGAAGAACAACGAAATTTGGTTGAAAAACGTTTGGCCAGTGCTATGACGGCTAACAACTATGCTGGCAATTGGACTGACGACATTCACGACGGATTGATTTTGGATTTGGTGAATAATGACGAATCGTTCAATTTGGTGTTACAATTTTGCAAGGCGAATCTTTACTTTGCATACAAATTGATGAACGAAAAGCTCACCATTCAAAAAGACCTTTTATTTATCGACATTCGTCGACCGGATGCATTGCCTTTCATCGACTTGGTGATAAGCGTGACAATGAAGCTATGTGGAATCATTTTCAAGGACGTTGAGCCAGACAAACAGCCGAAGACACGAGCTGTGAAAATCAAGCGAATTTTTGAAGAAGAATCCGTTGAATCCGAAGTAGATATCGAGTATCCAACGCGTAAGTATTGTTTTGTTGTTGGGTTTTCGTTGAACATTCTTTGATTCATAATATATACAAATTTGAACGTTCAAAACTTCATTTTTTTCATCATTTTAATTGATTGGAATTCATTTTAGTGGCATTGCCGAGCCTTCAAGAATTGCTCATTGCGGAACAGGACAAGTCATTTGATCAATTTCGTTGGGCTCTTCTGCAATGGTTGTTGGATTTGAGCGAGGAGACGATTTCAAAGATCAATGGCTCGAAGAAGCAATTGCGAGTCGTTCTATTGACATTGAACTTCTTGCTATCTGTATGTGATCAGTTTTCGTGAAAACAAATCGAATGATTTCTCAATTAGAACTTATGTCACTCGTTCTCAATTTTATTTTTGCAAATAGCATCAAATCATATCACCACATGAAGCTGATGTTCTCCTATTGACGGAATTAGATGGTCGCAGTAAAGGTAACGTGTATGTGCCTAGAAATTGCCCACCACCTCCGATGCCAAATACGCGTGTTTCGAATTATGTTGACGTATCATGGATTCAAACGGCTCATAAATACACCATAGCTTATGAACTCGTCTGCCACTGCCTTGAATTGAGCGGACTGCGCACGGAACCGGTAAGATTGAATTCATTGAACAATTGATTCAGTAGTTTTAATTGCTTGTTCGAATGTTTTTCTATAGGATAACATTGAATTGGACGCGTGCAAGTTTCATGATAACATCAATCTGGTCGAAAATGGAAACGACACCGAAAAAATCGAACGTTTGATGGCACAGATAAAAGGCATTCGCTTATGGTAAACATGTTCCATGAAACATGATGCTTTTAAGAACTTGTGCTCAGTTTAAGCTAAATCATTCCAATTTTCAACCATAAATTTTGATCAATACTTTATATAATAATTTTTTTTTCCGTATTATGTAACTACTTACAAAATGTATGCGCTGAATATTATAACCCAAAATATAAATGCTGAGCAAGTCATCGGTAATTTTCAATGAAGAATAAACATGAATACAAAATGCGGTTGTTTTCTTCTTCTTAAATGCTTGTTTTACTAGGTCTGGAGAATGCAATGAAGCACTTAATTTCATGAAATCAGCAAATTATGACGTCATTTAAGTCCAGAATTGAACAAAATCACATGATGAGAGTTTCTTTCGATCCCGTTACAAAAGCTGCTATCAACAATTAAAAAAAGTCTACATCACAAGCAGAACTAATGCATTTTATGGCCAACGCTTGTTTACAAAATTTCAGTTTACATCAGCTTACGACGTGTTCAAACAGTATTCTTTGTGTTGATGAAATTCTGATTATGTTCCAGTCGTGGGATGTTATAACAATGTGAATATACAATTGATACGAAAATCATTGACTACGACAATAAATTGAAACTCTAAAAATAAACAGCTATTTCTGTGAATTTGTTTGATTATTATTGAATTGTTGAATCAGCAAAAAAAAAACAAAGTGTGTAGGGTCGGCTCATGGGCACCTTGACCTTTCTCACATTTAAAAAGTTAATCTTAATTCCATAACACCATCATTGTCAAACATGTAACCTGGTGAGCACAATTTGACCTTGCCCGCACAATATATGTTTGCATTGAATTGATATTTCACTTAATCTGACAATTACAGGTGCTTCTTCATGCACAGAAAGAAGAAGTGTGTTTTGGTGGCAAAAAGCATCGCCCCTCAAGTACGTTTCAGTTTATTAAAAAGGTGTGTCTCTCAACTGTCTGCGTTGCGATTTAAAAAAAGAATCAAATGGTTCGTTTGAGAAAGAGAGAGAGAGAGAGAGAGAGAGAGAGAGAGAGGGAGAGAGAGAGAGAGAGAGAGAGAGAGAGAGAGAGAGGGAGAAAAAAAATAGCGTTTGAACGTTTAAAGTCTTTTTATATCGGAGCGGAACACCTCGTTTAGCGCCAAGAGAAAAAAATCGTCTCTCTTTTGGTTTGTTCTTTCCTCTCACCCATATTTACTGGCAGTGTTTCAGCGTTTCAGCAGAGATTATGCACGCATAGAAGAAGACAAAGTGGAGAAAAAAAAGCTTGTGGCAATATCAGCATCGGCAATGTGTGCAAATATGTTATGTCAACTTCGTGATGTCGGCAAGTGCTTGGTAAAAAGAGCACATGGAATAAATAGTCGTTGGATGAAAGAAGAACTGAAAGGAAGGAAGAAACGGCGCCCAAAGGCAATGTGGAGTTTATTAAAATATTGCGTCGAGTATTTAAGAGTTCAATGTTTCAGTGTGTGCACTATACATGTCTAAAGTCAAGTCTGGCCCGCGTGCGACCGACTAATGTGTGTGTGCATCGGAGAAAGTTTACACGATCCCACCGGCCTTTTTTTAGGTGGATGATGTGCATATTTACTCCATTCTTCAGCCATTTTTCTGTCGCTGAGCTCGTAATCAAAAATACAGACAAAAGCAATGAGCTCATTTTACATGGAACTGTCAATATTTTCACTTTGTTGCGATGCATCTTAACCTTAATAATAACATTGTATGCACGCATCAACTCGTCGTGGAAATTGTTGTCGAGGCTTCATTTTATCGACTTGTCTGCAATTATAATTAATAAACATCCAAAGTTAGAAGCATTTTCTCTCTCTCTCTCTCTCTCAAGTTTCCTTTCGTCGAACTAACGATAACATTTGCATTCGGTTTTGTGATGATACTTTGGCGTATCAAGTTTTTGCGCTGATACCATGACAATGCCGTATCGCCGGAGACGATAAGTTTTGTTTCGTCTGCCGTTTTTAACTCTCCAGAGATATATACACACTCAACGGATCTTAAAAACAACAAAACAATTACAAATCCTTGTTTGTATTATTCCATATGTTTGGTGTGTGTGTGTGTGTGTGTCATTTCCAACCGTACCCGGCTTTTGTGCATATGTTGCTCTGAATTTTATGTTTATTCGTAAAACCGTGATTTTAATTTCTTCTTGCATTGTTCGCAAAGGGAAAAATAACTCGCGCAAAAGTTTCAACAAAATTCACCAAATTTGACGCGCTTCTGATGCTGTATGTATATTTCTCGTCGAGCAATCGAAAATTCTTTAACCGACATTTTTTTCCAGTCTGCGTTGTCTATTTGTCGATGAACTCTCAGCAAAAGATAATAATTCAAAAATTCCATTAAATACTCTGGCCCTTTGTTGCATGTCGTTCACGTATCGAGTCTATGATGGGGATTTTTTTCGTTTGTGACAGCCGAGAGAGAGAGAGAGAGAGAGAGAGAGAGAGAGAGAGAGAGAGAAAGAGAGGGAGATGGAGAGAGAAAATATGATGAAGACATAAACGAATGTAATTTTTTTTATGTCGACAACATCCAAACAAAATATGAGATTTCCGTTGAAAAAAAAAAATTCGGCTTATTTCGCGCATTTCTCTGCCTTCCTATCTCCCTCGCTCTTACTCTTCATCTCTCATTCGCTCGAATACAGAAGCTGCAAACATACAAAATGGTTTTCATTTTATTTTGCATGGCTTCTCTCTCCCTCTCTCTCTCTCAGTGTGTGTGTGTATGCAACATCTAAAAATCCCGAAAAGCAACGGCAGCAGCGGCAGCACTCGAAATAAAATACCTGTAAAATATTTGGAATTTTATTCATTTGCTCTGTGCCATGTAATTGAAATATTTACGTGCGCTCTGTATGTCTGTTTTTTTCTCTCTCTTTTATATATCAGATTTTTCTGGCGAGACAAACATTCTGCCATAGCACAAATAAGAGCTAAAGCGAAAAAAAAGATTGTGTTTGTTTTGTCGGAATTTTTCGCCATATAAATGTGATGCGTCGAAACTTTTTATGTGCTAAGAAAAGCGGAAAAACGGGCGACATATTTGGAAAAATAAATGCCTGGGCCGATGTTTCTTCTTAGAATGGCATTCTTGATGGCATTTATCCGACTGAGCGTCAATTTTATTTATAACTCCACACACACACAAAATATCTGCATGGAATTATTTATCATCTGCCTACGATTGAATTGCTCTCGATCGGACTACACCATTTTTATATTCGCATATACGAATGACTGACGTGTGGCGGCAATAAAAAAATTGAAAACATCTTGAAAGACAATTGGAATCGGTTTATAAAAATTCGAGTGAATTGAATTGTTTTTCTCTTCTAAAAATAAAAATGCCAATTAAATTGAATGGCATCACTTTGAATTGAGTTGTACATCGCATCAAGCAAATTAAGCTGTGACAGAGATTATTTCGAGACTAAAAAACGCTCATCAATTCAAGATTTGGCTGTTCAATGCTGAATATTTATGATAATTTTCCCGGAAATGTATATTTGCAGAAGAGAGCGTAGAGAATAAAACAAATTAGAAATAAAAGCATATTTGTCTATTTCAATAAATTATAATTCTCTGTCATGACACATACGAGGTAATTACTAGCGGGACGAGAATGTGAGAGTGGATAGAAAATAGAAAATAAAAGCAAGCAACCAACATATTGGTTTAACAGGCTATGAATTAACTATGAATTTGGAAAGTGCACACATGACAATGCACAATGTTTGCGTAGGTGGAGAGATTATTATTTTAACAGTCCAGGTAGCAAAAAGTGTAAAATTTCCATATTTTTTGCATCATATTTTCTCATTTACATACATCCATCATAATTTCTAAACACAAATCGAGACATACGGACATAACACAGACTATAACGGTTTACCCTAGGGGCATTTCACTCGCATTCGAATACATGATCATTCGTGTACGAATCCTGCATTCGCAAAAAACAGTATAAGTATTTGCATTCGCACCATGTATTCGTACTGCCGCGCGAGCATTCGCGCGACTCCGCATATGAAACGTATTGAAACACTCGCACATGTATTCGTCGCGAATGCGCTCAGTTGCGATGAAGTGTCAAACACAGTCAAACATGTGGAAAGATGTCAGACGTGTTTGAAAAATTACAACGTGCATTAGGTGAATCTCTACCAGAAATTTTACAATTAATTCTCACACATTCTGGATTTAATACAGAAAGCGCATTAGCTACGTTGAATACAAGCATTTGCGGTCGCAGGTGTCCGATTTTTTGCAAATTTGTTTCCGTTTGATTACAATTCTTGATTAACTGTGGCAACTGGATGATAAGCAATCGGTGACCCGGTTTAAATTTAAAATGATTCACATTCTCGTATGATGTTTCTTTGAGAATTTCTGGGTTTTCAATGACATAGTTCCCGATATCCATAATAGCATCGTTGTCAATGGACATTAGAGATGATTCATTTTCAAATGCACAGAATTCCAGGATTTTAATAATATCGGCCGAAATTTTTACATTCAAATATTTTTCTAATTTGAAAATAACATTTTCCAGTCCCTAAAATACAAAACACAACTTAAATTGATATTAAATTTGTATCGAAATAACTATTTACCATTTTGGTGAACTAATGTAAACAATGTAGTCGCAACGATTAACACAACAAATCAATATAGATCTGTCAAGTGCATTCGCATTCGCGCAGCAATATTCGGACGTATTTGCTAATGCGCCGTATAGATACATTAAATGGTTATTCGTACGAATGCGAATATTCGGCACGAATATCAGTATTTGCGAGTGTTTATATTCAAATGCATGGCAAAGTATTCGCGCATTCGTACGAATAGCAGTATTCGCATAGAGTGAAATCCCCCTAGGGTTTACCTGGGCCGGCGAATGCATAATGCAACAGTCGATGCAGTTCACCACGTCCCAGTGTATGATTGTCCGTGTGTGTGCGTCTACTTAGTTGATCCGATTTCATTTGTTTGGCTGTGTAAAATGTAATAACGAGAAAACCGCTGGCGTAAAATTTCAATTCAGTTGTTCACCGCCCCAACAATACAACCCAATGTATAAATATAAAACTTGAAAAACAATATGAAACAGGAGCGAACCGAAAGAAGAAAAATCCATATATATATTTCAAACATAGAAAATAAAGAGTAATTCTCTGAAGCTGAAAAACTGATGCGATGGTTCAAATACTCACACACACAGCGCGTCGCATACGAATATCCATCAGGGAATCAACCGCACAGTTTGTGCGAGTAATTGTGTCTGCTATAGCCATTTTTCGTTCATAAAGCAATTGCAATCAAAATATGGTTATAGAGCGCTGAGGTGCGAGCAGATGAGCGACACTTTTATAAATGGCCATTGTTTATATCGAGTTGCTGTAGTTTTTGCCATGGCGAATGAACACATACGTTCCACCGACCAAAAATAGAGCTACAAAAAATGAGTACCGTTATGCATTACCAATTTTCGGTCGAACATTACGAAATTGAGTGACGACACGTAAAGCTTTGTTCGAAATGGTGCAGTTTGTTGGTGGTGAACGGTGATAGTTGTAGTGGTAGTTGGTTCACAACACTTTGGGTTTACTGTAACCCCCCTTTGGATTTGCATGTGGAGCTTTGTGTATCTCAATGTTATTTTTTACATTGTGCATAACTTTTTCCATCGGTTCATCAAGTGCGAATGTATTGTTGAGTTCGGTACATGCTACCAAACGAATTAATATGTATGTTCATTGCAATGATGATGGTCGGGTGTGTGGAGGCAGGCAAGCCGATTCGGAAAGCATGAGATAGCGTTTGTTGATTCTCAATATTGTCAGCACAACCCAACAGGCGATTCCATTCCATACACATTCACACATACAGAGCAATCATTTCATTGCGAACTCATAAATTTAAATTAAAAACAGAGAGAGAGAGAGAGAGAGAATGAGAGAGCAAAAAAAACTTTTTCGTTGTGCCTGTTTCGTTCATTTTTCGTCGTCGTCGAATGGCAATTTTGCCGGGCAAAGTAATTAAAAAGTGTCGGTTGTTATTTCACATGAGAATTTCAGAATTTCACGTGTTAATTAATTGCATAAATTTTCAGCAATATCGACAGTAATGGCCATTTTCCCAGTGTTAACAGGATGTCATCGGGAATAACAAATGAGCGAGTGAGAGAGCATAAGAGGGAATGTGTGAATGGGACCGATTTGGAAGCCATTTGATCAATTCATTCGACCTCTTGTGTTTTTGTTGTTGTTTTTTTTCGGAGGTTCATTATTGCACCAGAGCATCCGATGAGATTTATTATGATACAGCCAGACGCTTTTTGCTCTTTCTTCCGACCGATACCGATGAATTACAACAAGAAAAAACAACCAACAACAAATGAAAGAAAAGAAGAAGAAGAATTTTCAAAGAAAATGTAATTTAAAGCGAAAATAGTAAGGAAAGCCATTTGCTTTGGGCCCGAAGCACTTTTTCTGCAACGTTGAATCAAATACATAAATAAAACTTATTTTCCACTTTTCTTTCGTTTGTTGTTGCCATTTTCATGTATCTATTTTGAAATCGGAAATTTTTTCTTCTTTCGTCCGATGTATTATCGTGCCGATACGAGCCAGAAAGAAAGCTTGAACTTTTTTCCGTCATCGTTTTGTGCGCGTTCGCTCTCTTTCTCTCGGGGTCTCACAGGAGTTGAAAGTTAAAAAATGTTATGTGTATAGAAAATCGTCTATCAACCAAACCATTCGCGTCTGGAAAAAAAGTCAACATAGCCAATCGAAAAATCGATATGCCAACTGCTGTTTGCCAGCCCGATTTGCACTTTGTGCATATATTTTTCGTATTAGGAAATATCGTTAGCTCGCACCCAAACAGATGGAAAGAGAGAGAGAGAGAGACAGCGACAAGGAAGATGAGAGGAAAACAAGTCGAGAAACCAAAATGACTTAAAGCAAAAGGCGAATGAATGTGCAGTATGTGTGTGTGCGCTCGCCCACGTTATCTGATTCGAAAAGTGCCCTCATTTTTTCCATATGAAATTCACTTTTTTTTCTCCTCTCCATTTGCTCAAGAGCGAGTTCCACAGATTTCAAATTGGAATACGCTTTGCTGTTTGCCATTTTTCTTTATTTATTCCAATGTTTTTGTTGGTTTTTCTTGAGCGGCGCTATCACCAAGAGACATTAAAATGTGTCAGCATAAAAGTATAACGGCAGTGAAGGAGAGAGAGAGAGAGCAAGCGGAGAGTAGAGAAAAACAACAATAGCAACTTAAAAAAATATGATGGAGGAAAACAAATACAAGAAATGAAATGTACAACGGAAGAAAGCGAATGAGATGAAAGAGAGAGAAAAAACGACGAGAAAATAACGTGAGATAAATAAAATGTGTGCGTTGAGCGTCCACATGCTTAAGTATACACACACACAGTTCGAGTAGATAGCGTCATTTCCATTCCACCCCCAAACAATCAAGAAATCACAGCAGTTCGCATTGCAAAAATCTCATCGCAGTTTGTAATGCGGCACAACATTTTTGAGGGAGAGAGAGAGAGAGAGAGAGAGAGAGAGAGAGAGAGAGAGAGAGAG